GTGTGGAGGGGCTCTGTCAGGAGGCCCCAGAGCCCCCACAGTACCTGAGGACTTGTGGCAGAGCCCCCCGTGCAGTGTGGGGCAGTAGGAGGCAGCAGGGATGACCCCCTGCTTGGCACCCATGTGGGAGCCCTCCAATGGCACGGTGCAGTGCGGCTTGGAAGGGTTCTGCGCACTGTCTGGGAGCTGGGCCCGCCGGGGCTGCATGCTGCTGGGCTCCAGCTGACACATGGAGCCTCCCCAGCTCCCAGACAGAGTGCAGCACCCTGCCAAACTGCACTGCACCCGCACCATGGGGCAGCTGCTGCATGAGTGGCAAGTGGGAAGGATGATTCCTACTGTTCCCCGCTGCGCGGAGGGGAGGGGGCTCTTCCATGAGTGCCTAGAGGCCCTGATCACTGCTGCCAGAGCCGGTGAGTGAGAGGCTTTTTTTTTTTTTAATAGCCAAGAGGCTGGGACCGGGCTGGGCAGCCATCAGGGTTCAGGCTGGGTGGGACTGCATGGGGGGGGCTCTGCCAGGAGACCCTAGAACCCCCTGCTGCAGCCAGTGAGTGCATGGCTTTTGCTTTTTCTTTGCTGGGATGCTGGGGTTGGGTGGGGGCTGGGGCTGGGCAGGGCAGCCACGGGGGCATCTCCTGCAGCTTCCCCCCCTGGGGAGAGGCAGACACAGCCAGAGGAGCCGCAGGAGAACCTGCGGCTGCCTGGCTGTGCCTGCCTCTTCCTGGCCCATCTAAATCTCTGAATCAGTGCTGAATCTCCAATTCAGATTCAGCCGAATTGAATGGAGACTGTGATTTGAATGAACAGATCAAATCACTGTCCTCCGAATCAGCTAAATCTGTATCCGAATTGAATACTTTCTTATTTGCACAGGCCTACTGGTCACTACTAAACAATCAGCATTTGCATATAAGTATTCCCCTTGTATTTGGTTTCTCAGCTCAGCAGCTGTACTACAAAAATGGTATAAAAATTAGTTAAGTTTGGTTCAAGCCAATCTGATCTTTTATTTTTCTTGATGACATAAAAAACTGAATAATTTCACTTCATGATAAACAAAACACACTCAATTAAATCCCCCAAGGGTTTTGTTTTGGTCACTTAGAAGTAGAGCAAAGGAAGTTATGGGCTAGATTCAGAGAACTGCTAGGGGAGGAACTGATGCAAAAGTCTAGTGGTTAGTGCATTTACACAGGTGTTGGAAACCCAAATTTAGTTTCTCCTTTGCCTGGGAAGACATGAAGACACACCTCCTACAACAGGTAGGTATGAGGCTGTGTCTGTTGCAAAATATTGACTTTTAAAATAAAAATACTGCAAGAGATTATATCAATTCAGTCAGACCATTGGTTTTATTTACCATTGGAAACCAAACTGAAGAAAATCATCTATGGACCAAAAGTCAAGGCGAGGCTGAGATTTTAATTTTCAAAGTTGGGAGATACTTACCCTTTGATAACTTTTAGTTAAACCTAATGGTTGATGTAGATTGTATTTGTTCATTGTATTTGTTGCATGCTAATATAGCTAACATATCATTATTAAACAGCTGCACTGGATTGTTTTAAATGATAAACTGTGATTAGAGACTACACAGTTTTGGGAATGGGCATAGTAGTCAGGAAGTGTGTTTGCAGATGAAGCAAAAGTGACAATTCTAGTGCGATTCTTCGGAAGCTGAAGGAACCAAGAGACTGGAAAGTGGAACTAAATATGCTACTGGATCACAGAAGCAGATAGAAGTGTAAGAGGGAGATCTCTATTGACTGGGATTGGAATGATACCAGCATTCAGAGAGTCTGGTGGAGAGGAAACGCACCTGAGATCAGGAGGGGTTCTGTGCTTATTGCTGCCTAAAAAAAAAAAAGGAAGACAGAAAGAGAAAAAAGAGACAGACAAGATAGAAACAAGAAGAAGAGGAAAGTGAACAGACATGTACATAGTGAATATACACAAAGTTACTGGTATTGGCACTGTAGCATCACAGTGGCATGACAAGATCCCAAATTTGCTAAATATGCAGTAAAACAAATGCTACATAAGTGCTATACAAAAATGCAATTCTTGTTTATAAAGTTTAGGAGTAATTTTACAGAGTCATCCCAAGTAAAACATATTTGTTCTATAGTTAAATTATTCACTAAAGGATAAAATAGGTTCTGGACTCGGGAATACCAGCTGTCCCTTTTTACTTCACAAGACTAGTTGCATTAGCTCCAATGCCCTGGTTAAATTCCTTTAGGTAATTATTTTCTGCCTATGTAATCTCCTCATTTTTCAACTGGATATGTTATTCTTCATTTCCTGTCCTAAACTATTGTTTAGTGTAGCTGTACAGCTTTGAACAGCTGACATGTTCTACTCAGAAGTGGCAATGTTTCAGTGGCAGGTGAAGCGATTCCTCTGGTGGTGTGTCAGGGCACTGGTGAGCCAGGAGTAGGGCCAGGGTCAGGATCCCTGGTACAAAGATCCTACAAGGAACAGTCTATAAGGTTACTTCAGGGCATGGACAAATGTAGACTTAGTTTAAAAAAAGGGAAGAGGAGCTGTTACTCCTAACCCTACAGCAGCTAATATACTGTAACAGTTATGTGTGCAGCAGCTTTTATGGCTATGAATATTGCAGAGGCACTCCAACTTTAACCCTGCTTTCTTGAGGGTTAAAGCTGGGGCAATTTAGGTGTCACTATAGGATGATGTGAAGTTTAAAGTGTAACAGTTGTTGTGTGTTCCTGAGCTTCAGATGCTGCTTCCCATTTGAAATCACTCTAAGTAAATGTTTGTACATGCCCTCCTCAGTAACTGCTCTTTAGTAGCAGCTCTAGAAACATTTCACAGTCACAGATGGATTTTGTCTCCACCTTTCCAGTGTATCATCCTGGTACTTGGCCCAGCTAGTCAGACTGGTTACTGGGGAGAAGATTTGCTACCAAGAAAAAAAATAGCTTTTAGTTTAAAAATAAAATATCCAACAAACATATATCTGGTAACCACTAGTACAATGTTAAAGACCACATACAGACATGCAAAATTATATCAAACTGACCCCAGTCAAGGAACCTTCCATTTGACCGATTTCTCTTTTTCCTAGTCCTGATTTCGAAACAGTGCAATCTCCTATGTACGATACCAAAATCCCCCTAAAATGTCTGGCATACTTACACACTTTTCACTGTCAAATACATAACACAAGTGCTTATTTGACTCAGAATCTTTGCATATGAAAGTAAATATCCTTTTGTCAGTTTTATCATCAGCACAAAATGATATCCGGTGGAGCTGGCAGTTGTGCTGGACTTCCTGCAAATAGAAACAGAAGGATCATTTCTATAAGCTACTATGTAAACTTGGAATCAATTTGCAAATGGATGCAAGATGCACATTTTCTTACATATAAAAGGGCAGAAGGATTGCAGTGTCAGGGTTAAATCTGGTTCTTACGGCAGGGATTATCTCACTATGTGGAGGCATGCATCTATCCCAACTGGACTCCAAAAATTCAGTTAAATTCTTTACGTAGTAAAGAACCTTACAAAGTTTTTCCATTTAACAAATGATCCCAATTTTATTTAGTTTAAACAAGTCATTTAAAATAAGTGCTTTTTTTCTCCAGCCATTCTGGTGTTCTAATCTTGGTTCTGCTGTTGGCGCGAGCTTCTGAGCAAGCCATACCCTGGTGTGACTCTGTGAGATGCTCAGCATCGCCTTCCAAGCTGCTTAGGATTTCCAACTTGCATTGACCTTAATAAGAATTAAAGCATCTTTATTGAACATGCCTCAACCTCTCCTGGTTTCCCTATTTCTGAAGTGGAAATACTAATACTTAACAACCATGCAGTCCAATCACATTGCAGGTAGGAGGGAAGTAGTTTAGATAATCACAAAAGTCATACATTCCATTTAAATAATGCAATACAATGCTGATTTAGGAATGTTCAGTGCCCTTATTTGAACCAAAGACATAATGAAATTGTTCTTCTATTAAAGAACAAAAAAGATACTATCACTCCTCAAAGTGGCAAGGATAATATTTTTAAGGGGCCTGGAAAAATTACAGAAATAAAGAAAATATTTGCAATTTTAGTATTTTTTTTTTCCTTGGCAAGTCTCATATTGTATTTTATTTGGCTGGTTACATGGGAAAGCTGTACTCAACAAGGACAAGTGCAAAGACCTGCACTTAGGAAGGAACAATCTCGTGTACCAGTACAGGTTGGGGACTGACTGGCTGGGCAGCAGCTCTGCAGAAAAGGACCAGGGGGTTACAGTGCACAGTAAGCTAAATATGAGCCGGCAGTGTGCCCTTGTTGCCGAGAAGGGTAATGGCATCCTGGACTGCATTGGTAGGTGTGTTGCCAGTACGTCAAAGGAAGTAACTATTCCCCTCTATTCAGCACTGGTGAGGCCACACCTGGAGTACTGTGTTTAGTTTTGGGTCCCCCAGTACAGAACGGATGTGGACAAATTGGAGAAAGTCCAGTGGAGGGGAACAAAAATGGTGATGGGTCTGGGGAACATGACTAATGAGGAAAGACTTGGGGAATGAGGCTCATTTAGTCTAGTGAAGAGAAGACTGAGAGGGGATTTAATAGCAGCTTCAGCTATCTGAAGCGGGGTTTGAAAGAGGAAGGAACTAGACAGTTCTCAGTGATGGCAGATGACCAGGGATCCTGGTTTTATCCGATTTAAAAAAATCCCCAATTTTCGGTTAAAAACAAGTAACCCCAAATCTACATTTTTCCATGATTAAAATGAAACATCATGCGATCTATCTATCTATCTATCTATCTATCTATCTATCTATTAATAAGAACAACATATTGCACGGTAAGAAAACACATTCTTCAATATTTGGTCAGAAAAAAACCAGAGGGAGCAGCACCAGGAAAAGGAAATTTTGAGGGGACAAGGCAGGATTTTCTATGTTCTACAAATGGTTCTTTCTCAGACTGCCCTGAGAAAGTTATTCTATGCTTAATGAGGGACTAGGCACCAGTAACTTCAGTATTATAATATTGGTTTGTTGTTGTTGTTGGGTGTGTCTGATCAAATTATTTTCAGATCAGTTCTGTACGATAGTCAATGTCTCCCTGAAGCTATGGAGGCTTTTTGTGGGAGTTAAAGTATTTGAATGAATTGGATCCTATCTGCTTCCAGTCTCTCTATTTTTAAAGTGAAGATAATGATCCTGTCATCGTATAACTCAACAGGGTCATTGTAAGGATTAGATTCTTGAGATTTTTAAAGCACTAAATTAGCTGTTCTATGATTTGGGTAGGCACCCCATTTCTATGTCTGTGCAAAGTTTAGCACAGTAGAGACCTGACCCATTACTAGGTCTCTTACATTCTACCACAATCAATAAGAACACCAATAATATGCAAACCTATTCAGGTAAAATATCTATTCCTTCAGATATCATTCTCACTTCATTCAGTAACAAAATTAAAATGAATTGTTCCCAACAGTGAAAATACTTCTGTTCAACAGAAATAAGAGAAGAAAATAATAGAAGAAAATAGTTATAACATCAGAAAACAATATGGAATTCAAGTAATTTCCTAAAGCAGATGGATACCTTATTTGCTTTGGATTAAGCTGCCTATTTACAGAAACCCTAAGAGGAAATGAGTTCCTCAGTGTTATAATATTGCAACATTTAAAAAACTCTGCTTTGCTGACTTGTAAAGGAGTTCCCAAGTGAAGTTACATTTTGTTAAGTAGCTTTAAGAAAAAAAAGGAGAAAAGATATTACTCTCAGTTGATTTCTATTAAAGCTTGTTGTACAACATTTCCAAGAGTTGAATATGTTTCTATTCACCAAGGAACTTCTGCCCTACAGTTTTCTGTTAATTTCTTGCAGGAAGAGCTACAAAGGTATTAACATTTTTGGCATTTAAAACTGTTGTTTTTAAATTATTCGCATCAGGGGAAGGCTTTTGTACCCCCATGAAGCTACAATAGAGACAATGTAGTGCTTGCTCTTTGCTAATGGACTATGAAACCACTGCCTGAAATGGATTTAAAACAAAAAAGTTTGCAAGTAGAAACGTCTTTGTAAAATGACATGAATTGTAATAGTTAATTTAGAGTTAAAAGAGCAGCATTGGTTAGTGTTGATTAATATCAACAACTTAATGATGATCTAAATGATGTAATGTGTAATGGTAAACCATTGTTGAATTAATCACTCTACATTACTTTTAGGTTCAGTGGATAGACATTTATTTCGCTACTTGAAGAAAGGTGCTCTGCTTTGGTTTGTATTTGTATGTCAAAATACACTAGAAACCAGGATAGGACACAATGTACAAGACTGAATGAATAGAAGAAAACAGGACTGCTCAGCTAAATTGCTACAATAGATAGATACCAAAGCCTATAGTATAGCTAGGATGTCCAACAGAAAGTTAGGAACAGGAACTAAGGGGTTGAGAACACTCTGGCCATTCAATATCACTGTCAGGAAAGTCAATCAAAGGGTAATCTTACATTTGATAATCTATTTTATATTCTGTATAAAAAAAATACATGGCAGTGATTCTCAACTGTAGTGCCATGGCATCTTGGGATGCCATGAGATGCTTTGAAGGATTACCACAATTCTTAAGTGAGCAAAACACATGATTATGCCACCTATACCCAGAGATTTTAAATAGAAATCCATGATACAAAAGCAAGCTGATTTGGTGTGGTGTTTCTGAGCTCTTTGCAATAGCCGATTTACTCTGTTTCTATAGTCAAAAACAAGTTAAAGCCTTGATTATAAAGAGGCATTCCTTGAGCCTAAAAGGGTTGAGAACCACTGTTTTATGGTATCTTGTGTGCCTCAGAGGCACATATCTTATGAAAATATTAGTAGAAGATGACTTTTTGATAGTAAGTAGCAAAGGCACTTCTGAAATAGTCTCATCAATAAGGGAGTCTTTCAAGGAAGTATCAGAAGAAAGGCTTATAAAATGGAATAACAAGAACAATTTTGAATTAACTACTGATATAGTAAATAGTTCCAACCCTCCCCCACTTTCTTACCTTTGTTTTTGGATCTAGAATTTTTACACCATAAATTGAGATTTGTAACTCAACTTTTGGGGTTTTCTGGCCTTCAGATTTCTTGATATGTCTTGCAAACTATAAAAAGGAGAGCAGAGAAGCAACTGCATTATTTTACAATTCTCTAGTTTAAAAGAGCACTGCTAATTACATATTGGTAGTTTTCTTTCTCTCCATTATTCCCCGTTTCCTTTTAAATGCTCAGTTTAGATTTGTTGCCTCTCCTCTCCAAAATGTACCCTTTCAGTAACAATACCAAAAGCTCAGGAATGTGTTGGATATAAATACTACAAAAGTTCTTGTAGCAACCTTCGTTTAAAATATATTTAAAAATACACTTCTTTATGTTCTCTTTAAAACGTGGAGCTCCACACTGTCCAGAATACTCTATATAAGGCCTTCCCCCTGACCAATCCGAATCTCTGACTCACTGCTGAATCAGTGCCAAATCTCTGATTCAGTTTGGCCGAATCAAATGGGAACAGCAATTCGAATCACTGAATCGAATCACTATCCTCCAAATTGGCCGAATCCGAATTGATTTCTTCCCTATTCACACAGGCCTACTAAGCAAGTTTTAAACCTAGACAGATTACCTGTTTTGTGTGTTTTCTATCTTTTTATGTTCTCTACAATATCTGCTACATCTGTCCTGCCTTTTTATAACTCCAGTTCACAGCATGACAGATGAGTAGAGTTTTATGATTTGTTACTGTAGATTGCATATTGGCTATGAGATGATTTTTAATTTTGAATGGGGAAAGGGGTAGGACAGGGAGAATTAGTTAAAAGAAGTATAAAGAATTACTCCTCATTTACTTCTTTTAACTAATTCTCCCTGTCCTACCCCTTTTCCCATTCAAAATTAAAAAGAAGTATAAAGAATTGCTCCTCATTTTGGTATCAGCACTTTTCCTGATCAAATATATAAAAGCCTTCAGTGACATCTTTACAGATACATGCAGCACACAGATGAACTCTCTGTGAAAGTCAATGGGAGTTAGGCTCTGAACTGCCATTTGTACTTTCGAAAAGTTCATCCCTAAACATGCTGCCATTGAAATACAATTAAATTCAATGACTATAGGACTAGAGGGAATCCAACAAACCATTAGATTGTCACTATGTCACAATTTTAACCACTTTTCATTTTATGTCCTCACCTTTATTCCCCCCAATAAAGGTCATCCCTGTTTATGACCAATAGGATGAGCTTTGTGAAAAGTCAGTGCCAGATGCCTTGAGAGAAGAAAACATACTTCTAGCCTCAGAAGAAGTTGAAATAAAATAAGGAACCTCTTAGTCATTCAGTCAAGGAACAAAGAAGTAAATTACCTTCCAGAAGTTTTGCAAGAAAGCTGGCTATAGGCATCCTGGCAGCAGTGAGCTGAAAGACCACAGGGTATATGCTGTGCTTACAAAGATCTATTTAGATAGAATTCTTTTTAAAGTGGTATTTTGCTTCACGTGACTTTTGAAGTTTATGGGATTTTTTTCTATTCAGCCATCAACACCTTGAGATATGTTATCATGTATTTAGCAATTTTTCATGAAATGACTGTACAAACTCATTTTGTTTTCTTTCCCATCTCTCATAGCCATTCCAGTTCATAGTGATTGTTTCAAAAGTCCTCCCATAGAATAATTTATTTTCCTTCTAACCTGTTTCTTTCCAACCTCTCTCTCTACTTTGGCAACACACTCATTTAAAGGTTGAGCATGTTCTAGTTCTTTTTTCCTTCTTTTGGCACTGACACTCATATAAGGTGAGCTTAGAATGAAGTTGCTTTAATTTGGCATTTTCCATTTAATTTGCATTAGAACAAATGACTACATAAGGAAAAAAAGCAGTAGAAAACTAGGCTATGAAATTTCCTATTAATTCACAGTCTAGAAGAAACAGGTTAATTTGACAGTTTTTTTTAAAAGTTATTTTAGACAGGGAGTCATCTTCATGTAGATTTTTTTCCTAAATGAGTCCAGCAGGGATTGGTTCTTGGCCCTATTTAACATTTTAACAGTGACCTGGGCAGAAAACTCTTAGAAATTTGCAGGTGAAACAGACAGAATGAATGGCAAATAATGAAGGGGTCAGGTCAGTGAGACAGTACATTATGGATTGCTTGGTTTGCTGAATGCAAGGAAACAATCTGCATGCTAATATGGCTAAATGTAAAGGCTAAAGAACAAAAATGCAGCCGATACTTATGGAAAGAGAGACTTTGTGCTAGGAAGCAGGGATAAGGAAAAGGGCTTGGGGATCATGATCTCCCATGGTCATGGCCAAATGGGTAAACAGAAGCTTAGAATCATAGAATTATAGGGCTGGAAGGCACCCCAAAGGATCATCGGGTCCAACCCTCTGCATGAGCAGGAAAGACATCTAGGGTCAGATAACCCCAGCCAGGTGACCGTCCAGTCTTCTCTTGAAGACCTCTAGGGTAGATAATTGCACCACCTCTGGGGGTAACTTGTTCCATAGTCTGAACACCCTAGTTGTAAAGAAGTTTTTCCTAATGTTCAGCCTGAAACTATCTTCCAGGAGTTTGTGGCCATTGTTTCTAGTTTTTCCCCAGAGCGCCCTGGTGAACAGTTGATCATCAAGCTCCTGATGTATGCCTCTGATATAGCGGTAAGCTGCAATCAGGTCCCCTCTCAGCCTTCTTTTCTTTCAGCTGAAGAGTCCGAGATCCCTCAGCCTCTCCTCGTATAGTTTGCCATGCAGGTCCCTGATCATACGGGTAGCTCTTCTCTGGACCCTCTTGAGTTTTAGCATGTCCTTGTTGAAGTGCACCCAGAACAGGATGCAATATTCCAGCTGTCACTGCACCAGTGTTGAGTAAAGTGGGAGAATCACTTTGGATTTACTGGAGATGCATTGATTGATGCATGCCAGAGTTTTATTGGCCCTAGCGGCTAATTGCCAGCTCATATTAATGCTGGGGTCTATTGTTACTCCCAGATCCCTTTCATTTGTAGTGCTGGTCAAGTTAGTGATGCCCAGCCTGTAAGTGTGCTGGGGGTTCTTTCTTCCCAGGTGCAGCACTCTGCATTTCTCTTTGAACCTCATCTGGTTCTGTTCTGCCCAACATGCCAGCCTGTCTAGGTCTGCGTGTATTTGCAGCCTATCTGCAGGTGTGGGGTCAGCGCCCAACTCCATATCTTGGTGTCGTCTGCAAACTTGGCTAATGGGGTTTTCACCCCCTCATCCATGTCATTGATGAAGATATTGAACAGCACTGGGCCAAGTACTGATCTCTGGGGTATGCCACTGCCCACATCTTGCCAGGATGACACTGATCCATTCATTTGGACACTCTGTATCCTAACCTGCAACCAGTTTTGCACCCATGTGATGGTCCTGCAGTTGAGCCCAATATCTTCCAGTTTTCTGATTAGTACCTTGTGGGATACCAGGTCAAAGACTTTCTGGAAGATGAAGTATATGATGTCAACTGCTTTTCTCTCATCCAGGTGATGAGTCACCTGATCATAGAAAGAAATGAGGCTGCCCAGACAAGACCTGCCTGCGACAAAGCCACGCTGGCTGTCATTCAGTATCATGCTTTCTGCAAGTTTGTCACATACAGCCTCTTTGATGAATGTTTCTAGGATTTTCCCTGGAATAGAAGTTAAGATAATTGGCCTGTAGTTTCCCAGGTCTTCACACTCCTCTTCTTGAAGATGCACAGAACATTGGCCCTCTTTCAGTTCCCTGGGATTTCTCCAGAGGCCCATGATTTTTGAAAGACTTTTGCCAGGGGCTCTGCGATTACTTTGGCCACTTCTTGCAGCACTCTTGGGTGGAGTTCATCTGGTCCTGCTGATTTATATATGTCTAATTTCTTTAATTGATCATACACCAGTACTACGGCAATGCTGGGAATGGTGTCAATCCCACCCTGTTCGTTCTGTGCCCTACCTGGCATGTTGTTTCCCTTAGTCTTGTGAAAGACCGAGGCAATGTAGTCATTTAGGAGTTCCATTTTTTCCTGAGTGGTAGTGACCAGGTATCCTGAGGCATTGAGCAGTGGCCCCACACTCCCATGAGTTTTCCTTTTACTCCCTATGTAGCTAAAGAAGGACTTCTTGTTGTCCTTGATTCTTGTAGCTAGTTTTAGTTCAGTTTCTGCCTTAGCTTGCCTAATCTGTTTCCTACAAATGCAGGCCATTGTCAAATAGTCTTCCTTAGAGACCGTCCCAAGCTTCCGTTGTTTGTACACCTCTTTCTTTTTCTGTAGGAGGGCTGCAACTTCCCTGCTTAGCCAAGAGGGTTTTTTGACCCTTCTTCTACTTTTTATCCAGAAGGAAATGGATTTTCTGAGCCGTAAGGGTTGTATCCTTAAGGAATGAACATTCTTCTCATGCGCCCTTTACCTGTGGTCCTGGGTCTCTCAGGGCATTCTTTAATAGTGACCTGAGCTTATTAAAATTTGCATTTTTGAAGTCTAAGTCTTTGAGCTTTGTATCTGTTTCATCAGTCTTGCGACAGACCGTGAACACAATGATTTCATGGTCACTATCGCCTAGGCTGCCCTCTATGCTTAAGTTGGTCACCAGGTCATCCCCTTTGGCCAGGATCAGGTCAAGAACTGCATTGCCTCTAGTTGGCCTGTGCACCTCCTGAGTCCAAAAAAGCTCTTCAGTGCTGGTCAGGAAGAATCGTGATCGATCGGAGTTGGTCGAGCACTCCTCCCAGGAGATGTCTGGGTAGTTGAAGTCACCCATGAAAACCATATCCTGTACACGCACAGCCTCTGTTAGTTCACAGGTGAACACTAGATCAAGTTCCTCCCCTTGGTTAGGCGGCCTGTAGTATACACCTACAGTCAGGTCTGTCTCACCACACTTACCCTGGAGCTTGACCCAGAGGGTTTCAAGTGGTTCTTTTTTGGGGCGAACATTGACCTGTAGGGAGATGTACTGTTCCTTCACATAGAGGGCAACACTCCCATCTCTCTTGCCTACCTGATCCCTTCTGTGAAGGACATAGCCCTTTATGGCTATGCTCAACTCATGAGAGGAGTTCCACCAGGTCTCTGTGATCCCTACTAGATCACAGTGCCCAGTGGAAAGCA